ATTTTTTGCTTTCTGCCCTTATTTTTTGACTACTTGCTATTCAGTCAGTTGTATGTTGTGCAGTCTCTATGTGTTTGAATGTTTTCTGCAGTTTCTTTTGTTGTTGATTTCTAGTTTTCTTTCATTGTTGTCTGTTAAAGGAAGTTATTTCAATTTTATTGTATTTTTATGTCCTAACATATCTATTTTGGAGAAAATTCCATGGACTGCTAAGAAGCATATGCATTATGTGATTATTGGTAGGGATATTCTGTAGATGTCTTTGAAGTCCATTTTATCTCTATCGTCACTAAATCCTGAAGGTTTTTTGTTGCTTTTTTGGGAGGAATGTCTCAAAATCTTCTTTGTCTATTCTGAGTTATTTTGGTTTGAAGTCTACTTTGTCAGATATTAGTATAGCTACTCCTGCTTGCTTTTGGGCTGTGTTTACTTAGAATATCTTCTTGATTCATTTCACTTTAAACTTGTGTTTGTCCTTGCCTGTGAGGTGTATTTCTTGAAGGCAACAAATAGTCGCATATGTTTTTTAACATGTGCAATGCCATGTCTTTTGATTGGAGAATTGAGACCTTTGATAGGTACAGTTATTATTGAAAGGTATGTAATAATTTCTGTCTTTTTGTTGTTTTTGTAGCATTTGATTCTTTCCTAATCCTCATTTGCTAATCTGCTCATCTAGAGAAGATTTATTCTTTCTCATGTTTTCATTGTTGTGTTTATCTTCCTCTTCTGTGTGTAGGATTTAAGTATCTTCTTCAGTGCTGGTTTAGTGGTCACAAATTCCTTTTGTTTTTGTATATTGTGCAAGATTTTTATTTCTCTTTTAATTGTGAAGGATAGCTTTGCTGGATACAATAATCTAGGTTGATAGTTTTCTTTCAGGGCTTAAAAAACATTCCTTGCTTTCCTTGTTTTTAGTGTTTCTTTAGAGAAATCTCTCACTCTGATTGGTTTGCCTTTATATGCAACTTGTTGCTTTCAATATTCCTTCTTTTGTGTATTTAATGTTTTTAACTTTCATGTCTTGGAAAGGTTATTTTCTAATCTTGTCTGTTTGGCATCCTTAAAACCTCCTGTACCTGGATGACCAACTATTTCTCAAGATCGGGAGAATTTTCTATTATTTTATTGCATGTATTTTTTATGTCTTTAGCTTGCACCTCCTCTTCTATACTCATGGTTTGTAGATTTGGTCTTTTCATGGTGTTTTAGAGGGCTTGTATTCTGTTCTTACTTTCTTATTTTTTCTTTATCTTTGTCTGAATATTCTTAGTTCCTCTACCTTATCTTCAAACCCTTATATTCCAGTTTCACTTTGATCCATTTTACTTGTGAGACTTTCAACCGGGTTTTAATTTGAGTTATTTAGTTTTTATTTGCAGAATTTTGATTGGATGCTTTTTTTAGGATTTCTGTGTCTTTATTGAAGTCCCCTTTCATATCCTGAATTGTCTTCTTTATTTCATTCAGCTGCTTATATTCTGTTTGAATTCATGAATGTGTTTATATATGTCCTTTTTAATTTTGCCAATCATTCTTATCATCATTCTTTTGAATTCATTGTTTGAGATTTTACCCGGTTCAATATCATTCAAGTTTTTTATTGTGGGGTTGTTATCTTTTGTAGCAGTCATGTTTGCTATGTTTTTTCATGTCTTGTGTTTCTCTTTAGGGATTTGTACATCTGAGGTCAAGTCATTGGTTGGAGATTTTAATCACCTGTAGTCTTTCAGTTGAAGTGTTCTCTACTTTCTGGTTGTACTGGATAGTGGCAAGGTTGATGGGCAGTTTCTCAGTATTGTACTTTGGGTATAACTCAGCAGTAACAAGTTCAGCAATTCAAAACCAGAGCAGATAGTTAAGGAAGTAAAGAACCATTGGAAACCTCATTTACACCCCTGATAAGTTTATATATAACAGAGATTAAGAGTCATGTAGAGTATGCTAGGATTTCAGAAAATATTTAAAGGTATAGGAGTTAAGAATGAAGAAGTAAAAAGAAAGAGGGTAGTAAGGAAAAAGGAAGATACATTTAAAAATTGAATACCTAGAAGCAGAGACTAGAACACTAGTTCCCAGGGGCCTGGCGGGTAATGGGCAGATATTGATTGATGTGATTTTAAGCATTCTCACCACATGCATAAAAAGAAACTGTGAAGTGATGGATATGTTACTTACCTTGATTGTAGTAGTCATTTCCCAGTGTATACATATTCTGAAAATCCATTGTACACCTTGAATGTATACAATTTTTACTTTTCAATTATACCTCAAAGCAGAAAAAAATAAAGTTTAAACACATAAAAACTTGGAGGTCTGAAATGTTACTGGGAGTTGGGAAGTATGTGCCTTCTTTCAGTATTCTTGCCACTTACCAGGTGTGTCTTGTTACTCTTGCAATTCTAAGTCAGTCTTGCTTTGGGGATCTACTACTAGTTCCATGATTATTCATTCATCTAGTTTTATGTATTCTCTCCTTTTATAACTGCTAATAAGTGTTGAAATCAGGAACATAGTAATCACTTGTTAAATATTTGGTGATTGTATAAATAGATCCTTGATTTGCTTGATGAGTTTTCCATGCATCTTATGTGTCCATTCATAAGTTATATTATAGACATCTTGATATGCTTTTTGAGAGTATCTATCAAGTTGTTTCCACAGAAGCTGCTCTTAGCCATTTGGCTATTTATAATTTTAAAAAATTATGCCAATTTATTAAGAAACATATGTCTCATATTATCTAAGATTTCTTTTTTCATGTCCCCTAATTTATGATTTTGTTTAAAATCAGTGTTTTCTGTGTGAAGATATGTTATGGTTTAAATATGAAATATCCCCACAGGCTAGGTCTCCAGCTAGTAGTGCTAATTTGGGAGGCTCTGGAAACTTTGGAAGTGAGGTCTAGCTGGAGGAAGTAGGTAACTGGAAGCAGGTCCTTTGGGGTACCTTGTCTCTGGCCTCTTCCTGTCTCTCTTTCTCTGCTTCCTATCCTCTGTGAGGTGACCATGCTCTGCCACAAGCTCCCACTGTCGTGATGTTCTCCCAAGTGAGTAGGGCCAAACAACCATGGACTGAACTGTCTGAAACCATGAACTAAATCTTTCCTCCTTTAAGTTGCTTTTCTCAGGTATTTGGTAACAGTGATGCAAAAACCTGACTAATACAAGATGCTTATTAGAAATTTATATTATTATTCTGTCTTGTTTTCTTTGTTAGCTTTGTTCCACTAATAGCTATTTTCTCTGATTGCTTACCTTTGTTTCTTTTGCAGTTTTTCTCATATACCCTAGTCAATGCATATATTTAATGTGCATATTTGGGGCCCCTTGTAATCAGTTTTGGTATGTAGAATGTACTCATTTAGTATTTGGGTTTGTGCTTCCACAAGATATCCTGTGCACTCTGCATTAAGTGAAGTCCAAGGGCTGGTGCTCCTGTCACCTATTGTACTACAAAGATTTTGTAAAGAAGGTGGATAGAAATAGGCTTTTTAAAACAGTACTAGGCTTTGAACTCAAGGCCTTGTGATTGCTAGACAGATGCTCTACCATTTCAACTACATCCCCAGCCCTTTTTGCTTCAGTTATTTTTTTAATCGGGTCTTGATTTATGCCTAGGCCAGCCTGGACCATAATCCTATTTATGCTTCCTTTGTAGCTGGGATGACAGGTATGTCCACTGTGCCCAGCTTTCATTAGTTGAGATGGAATCTCACAAACTTTTTTACCTGGGCTGGCTTCTAAAAGCGAACCTCCTGATCTCTGCCTCCCATGTAGCTGGGATTACAGGTGTGAATCTCTGCGCCTGGCTGGGAATTGAGTTTTTAAAGACAGCGTATTGAAGTATAACACATATATAGAAAAGCTTACCAACTATAAGTGTATAGCTTGTTGTATTTTGAGTGTTTGTTCACATGTGGAACCAACACCCGGATTAAGGATTAGACTATGACCAGCACCAGAAGCTCCCTTCTACCCTTTTCTAGTCACTCCTACCCTCTAAGGGTGACCACTGTCCTGACTTCTCCTTATATGTTAAGAAACTGTAGCATTTACTCTATTAATGTTGATTTTCTATTGCTCAAAACTATGTGAAATTCATCCATAGTGTGTAGATTAATTGCATAGATATATTAGTAGATTGTTACTTTATTTATTTATTTTTTTGGTGGTATTGGGCTTGGAATAAGGACCTCATACTTGTAGGCAAGTACTCTACCACTTGAGTCACATCTCCAATTCCTATATTATTAATTTTAATTGTTGTATAGGACATCATTATGCAACTGTATTATAATTTACATATTGTATGGTTTGTGGACATGGGGTTTTCAGTTGGAGGTATTAAAAATAGTGCCGTTAAAAATATTTTTGTATGTGGATCTTGGAACTTGTATATGGGTATATGCCTAGGATGGAATTATTAAGTTGTTTTGATATTTGTTTGTTTGCCTATTTGTTTTAAACTGCTTGTGTTCTGATAGGAATAGTTCAGTAGATAATGTGAAATTTGTTATGCAAAAGAAAATGGATAACTGAAAGAATGAAGACCTGTGGGTTTTTGGCCCTTACACAAGTAAACACCTATCTTCCTATGAAGAGCAACACATTTTACGGCTCAAATTCCTAAGATTATACTGGAAAGAGTAGGCTAATATGTTTGCAGCCAACTAGCTTAGCCTTTCTTATTGGAAACACTAGTAGAAAGACTCATTTCTGGTGCTTAACACCATGTACATTGCTACAGTGAAGAATAAAAAGAAGTGAAGCATTCAGTGGTCTCATACTGTTCGTGATAGACCTAGCAGTTACCCTGCTGTAGGTAAGTAGTGATTATGAATGGCTAATCTCTACTTGTAAAGAGAAGAGAAGGGTAAAGGACATCAGGACTTAAGCAGAATTCATGAAATTTTATGCTTTAAAATTTTAGCAGGGTATTGCTACAAATAATTCATGCAATCAGTGCCAAGAATTAAACAATTGATTATTGTTTTCTAGTCTGTTACCTTCAAAACTACCAGCAGAAATCTTGCCCGAGCCATGTGTATGAAGAACATCAAGCTCACTATCATTATCATCATCGTATCTATTGTAAGTTTTTGTCCTTTTAGTGTGCAAAAATTTTAGGTGCTAGAATTCTTAATGATTAACTGTCTTAAATGAGCTACAGATAGCCAAACAGCAATGACTCATGCCTGTAATCCTAGCTTCTTGGGAGACTGAGATTGGGAGCATTGTGTATCTGGGCCAGCTTGGGCAAAAAGTTAGATAGATCCCATCTCAACAGTAAAAAAAACTGGGTTTGGTGGGCACATGCCTGTCATCCCAGCTATGGTGGGAGAATCGTGGTCTAGGCTGGCCTGGGTAAAAAGTGAGACCCTATATCAAAAATAACCAGCTCAAGCTGTAGAATGCCTTTCTTGCAAGTGTGAACCTGTGAGTTCAAACCCCAGTACCAAAAAAAAGAAAGAGCTACATACATCTTTTAATGTTGGAACACATTACTAGGAAGTGGCTTTTCTATTCCATCACTGTGAAATATTGTCTCCACTTAAATCCCTCTTCCCTGTTGAGAATTCTTATATGTAATGAGCTATATAAAACCGACATCATAAAACTAGTTATTTTTTGAGACAGGATCTTGCTTTGTTACCTGGGCTGGTCTAGAACTCCTAGGCTCTAGTGGTCCTTTTGCCTCAGCCTCCCAAGTGCTGGGATTATAGGCACACACCACCATTCTTGACTAGTATAACTATTTTTAATAGAAAAATGATTTCTGTTTATATGTAAGGAGTTTATTTTCCTTTAAAAATTAAATATGTATTTTTAAATTTTTTACTTTCTACTGCCCAGCACAGTGGCTTACAGAGCCTCTCATCCCAGCTACTTGGGAGCCAGCCCAGGCCAAAAATTAGTGAGACCCCATTTCAAGGCAAAAAGCTGAGCATGTTGGCAGTCACCTATTATTCCAGCTATGTGTGAAGTTTAAGTATGAGGATCATGGTCTAGGCTGGCCGGGGCAAAAAACACAAGATGCCACCTAAAAATAACTAAAGCAAAAAGTGCTATGGATGCAACTCAGGTGGTGGAGTGCATGCCTACCAAGAGATCCTGAGTTCAAATGCCAGTACTGCCAAAAAGCTAATTTCTAGTATGACAAATGATGATACTTACAATCCCCCTTAAAGAATTCTTTGGAATTCTCAGTAGTTTTAAAAATGTAAAGATGTGCTGGAGAAGCCAGATGTTGTCATGCACTGCTATAATGCCAGCACTTGGGAGGCTGAGGCAAGAGGATTGTGAGTTCAATCTGTCTCAAACAAACAAACAAAAAAGAAATGAAAGAAAATAAAGGGCTGAGAATGTAGCTCAGTGGTAGAGTGCTTGCCTAGCATGTATGAGGCCTTGGTTTCCATTCCCAACACTGCAAAAAACAACAAGAACAAAAAATAGAAATAGGTCCTTAATCAAAAGTTTGAACACCACTTGTAAAGATAGAGGGTCTTACCCTGGGATATTTCATGGCTAGGTAAAAGTACCTTTCCTCCCCATCCTCCAGTCATTTGCAGAAGCCCAAAGTTATCTCTGAATAGATAATTCCAGCTCTGTTTCACTTCTCCACAACCTCTCCTTGAAAGTTTTGAACATTAGACAGCTGGACTTGTCTAAGAGAAAAGAGGAGTGATAGGTTTATAGATTATACTGGAAATAGTTGCATTTGTCTCTGTTTCTTTGCTTTGGATCCTCGGGTATCACATTTTAGGCTCCTGAGCTTAGCTTCTTCCTCCTTCTTTGGTCTGCAAGTTTAGATTGCTTCATGCAGTTGTATTATTAAGTTCACATTTTAATTAATTAAGAGATAGGGTCTGACATTTTATCCAGGCTGTCCTTGTCACAATCCTCCTATTTTATGCCCACTCTATCCGAGATGACAGGCACCAAGGTGCCTACCAGGTGTGTACCACCAAGCCCAGTTTTTTCCCATAGAAATGGGGTTTTGTGAATCACGATCCTCTCAATTTCACCGTCCACATAGGCTGGAATGACAGGTGCACACCACTGCACCCAGCTGTTGATTGACATGGGGTCTTATAAACTTTTTTGTCTGGGCTGGCCTCAAACTGCAATCCTCCTGATTTTACCTTCCCAAGTAGCTAGGATTGTAAGTGCCACTGGCACTTGGCATCAGATTATATTTATTGATTACAATATACATGTAGACATGCAGAGCACTGCTGTAAGTCCAGTCCAATCTTTGCTAAAAGGTGTTTTCACCTAACAATACTGTATTTCAGCTTGACAAAGCCTCATATTACAGCTGTGGCAAATAGTCACCTTTATATCAAAGTAGTAAATTTTCTATTTGGGGAATATGCTTTGCTCACTTGTGTGGCATTCCTACCTGCATTTTCCCCCTAGCATGTGAGTAGTGAAATCAGTCATTTTAATATCTCAAAAAGTTCTGGGCTGAGGATGTAGCTCAGTTGTAGAGCATTTAAACTAGCATGTGCAATGCCCTGAGTTAAAACAAACAAAACAAAACAAAACAAAAACCCTCAAAAAGTTGTAATGTAAAATAAAATGACAAATAGTTCAGTGTACCTAAAGTATACCATTTAAATCTACTTGTCAGATTGTAATAATGTTAGCAAGTAGATAATTTTAAGGTATTATAATTAAGAATTGCAATACTGGAATTGAAAAACTAGCATATCAGTCATAGAACCAGTAGTTTTTCATTGTTCTATCTTCAGTTTATCTTTGATTTGTTAATCAGAATTATTGTTTGAGTTGTTTGTTATATAGGCTATGTAGATGTAGTCTCTACTCATGCTTGTTCATATATTAATAATGAAAAATAAAATTAAAATGTAAAATCTAAAAATATAGTTAATAAATCATACTTAAAGGGAATCGTAGTTATTTGATTTTTATCACATGTTAATGATGCATCAGTAGAGTTGCTCATGTAGCCTTGATACTACTCTAATGGAACTGTTTTCTTTAATATGTTTTACTATCCTTTATATATTATTTTTGAGCATATGATAGATTTAAGAAAATAAAAATTGCCTTCCTTCTCCTTCCAGGTGTTCATCTATATCATTGTATCATCTCTCTGTGGTGGATTTACATGGCCAAGGTGTGTGAAGAAATAGAGAAGTTATCATTAACCAAGGATATCAGAAAAAGGAGTTAAAAGCAATCTATGTGACTCAGGCTTTTCACTACTTACAGAAAGTGTCTGCCAGTCACTTCAACCCTCTCTTTACTTTTTCTTTTTTAAATCTTGTTCTATGCCTTCAGATTTATCTTTGTCCTGTCAAACAATTTATTCACATTGAACCATTCATTATAATGGTAGCTTTGAAAAGGCTTTTGTTTGTTTCTTTGGTTTGTTAACTAGTATCATCTACTTTGAAAAACATTTTTGGTTTTAATTGCACAAAAGTAATCCAGGTGGAAAGTATCAGTCTTATGACCTGTCTATTAAAACTACATAGGAACTTTGTATGTGCACACAAACATATTCAGGAGGAAGATAGTATTACTAACATCTCATCTTAATGTTTTTTGTTATGGAAGAGTTTTAGGTGCTTCAAAACAATATAAATGGTGAATAGTTGTTATTTAGGGAATTGTAATTAATTCGTTGGTGCTGCTTATTTACAGGAGCCCAGACACATAAAGTATTAAACATTTTAATTTTAATCAGATATGGAGCATTTTGCTAGCCTATTAGAAGCACACAGAATTATCCTTGTCCTCCTAGCATTTACTTTTGGGAATAAAATTCACTGTACTATTCACTGGATAGTTTGGTATCTTCTGTTTCCCCATTGTATTTTATTTAAGACGATTATTGAAATATTGCTGAAGGTTGTGGGGTTTTGCACATTCCTTTTTCTTCTGTAGATATTTGGGGCAAATGTATTATTAATAGATGGGGAATAAAGGAGTGGAGGTAAATAACTGACTCACCAAAGAAAAATAAGGGAACCACAGTGAATGTGCTGTCATTTTAGCTGTATAAAGGGAGGTAGTAATGGGAACATTTTCCATTCTGGGAAAAGCCCAGAGTGAATACATTTAAAATTCAGCTACAGAGTTTGGATTTGATTCCTGTTGAATAATAGCTTGAGTATCCTTTGTGACTTAATAAATTCTGTAATTTGCATAGTTTTGAAGAATTCTTTTTTTGAAACCTGAAAGAGAATACACAGTATGATGTATAAAAACAATACAAAATAGGGTAATACACATTTACTGCAGTGTAAGAAAATTGTACTGTAATAATAGTGTTTCAGCTACTTTATCATCTGTTAGCTAATAATATGTTTCTAAAAGAAGCACATCTGTTGCCCTAGATCTCTAATTGCATTTATTTATCAGTAAGTGCCATTAAATGGAAAATATATTGCATTTTACTCTTTTCCCAGTGAAAGAACAAGTTCAGTATTTAGAACCTAGCCACTTCCATGTGCCTTGAATATATATATATATATATATATATATATATATATATATATATATGTATTCCTATAATCAGGCTCATAGTACCTCTTCTTACATGGAAAACATTCAATTCATGCTATGTGATTTATGCCCATGGGAGCCCTTTATGATCATTCATAGCACAAATGTTTTTCTAGTCTTCTTTATCAACACTAATCTCTTTTAATTGTGTTTGGATTTCTTGTTGGAATATACAATTTGTGCCAGTAAAACATTTGGCATTCTTAATAATTTCTGAGTGTTTTTGACCCAAACAAAAATGCTTAAACCTTCTCTTTCTTACACCCACCTGAATAAAATTGATACGCATGTTTTAGTGATTGATTACTTAAGTATTCCTTAGTCTATTTATGTATCAGAATGCTTTTTAAAACTCATGTCTCATTGTAAGTGATGGACAAACTGAAGACATTAATAAAATTTAAGAGTACTACACTGAAATCCTTGTTTTAGAAGTTCGTAGTCTAATTTCATCTGATGACATTTAACTATAGTGTATAAAACAAAAGGATTTTATTTATGCAGAAGATATGTTAAGAAATGCTATCTGATTCCTTTCAGTAAATACCTATAGTATTGTGTCAGTTGTGTAGAATTCACTCAAAACCAAAAGACAAAAGAACTAAAAAATATGTAGGCAATGCTGAAACAGTGTAAAGATTGTGAAATGATCACACAACCTCAACAATTATCATCCTTAGCCAATGAATTAGAGAAAAAACAGAAAAAGAATACAGAGATTGCCATTCCACAATTTTGAAAATAAATTTGTCTATAATTGAATGACTGGGGGCAGTGGGCATAGCTCATTGGTAGAGCACTTGTCTAGCATGTGCAATGCCCTGGATTCAATCTTCAGCACCACAAAAAATAAATAAAACTGGTACTGAAAGAGATGGTTTAAAGGAAGATAAAAGGTGGGAGAGAAAAATTCACTATTGCAAACAGTAGGAAAAAAAGAAAAAGGGGAAGAGATCAAATATACAAAAAGCTAGGCCAGAGTTCAGAAAGGATCCAATATGGTGACTGGAACACAGCCTTCTGACCTCTGTGATCCAGGGACTTTGATAAGAAGCTGGAGACTTGCTTGATCGAGGTAAAACACCAGGGAGAGCTGAAACATCAGCACTCTGAACCCCTAGCTCGTGGGAGGCCTATTCACACCACCATATACTAAAAGACTAGCAGGCGCTGCACACTAAGCCTCGCCCCATAGGCCCGTGGAGCCGCTGCTCCATATAATGTGGGATTTCTGATCCTCTGGCCCTGCTCCTTTGCCCAGCCAGGGCCGTGCTACCCCAAACTTCCACCCCTCAGAACCGCAAGATCTCTGTGGGACGAGTCCTTAAGGCCAGGGATCCACAGACATTTTTGATCTCCGCCAGGCCCCCTGCCCCAAGCCTGCACAGCCCTGCAGGAGCTCTGTTTCACTGGGCACACCCCCCAGCCCTGGATCTCTGCTTTGCCAGCCACGCCCCCAGGGCCTGCCATGCTGGAGATACAAACACACACATTTCCCTTCCACTGAGCCATGACCCCAAGGCGGGCACAGCCCTGCAAGATCTCTGCTCTGCCAGTACACGCCCCCAAGGCCTGCTGCGCTGGAGATACAAACATGCACAATCTCCCTTCTGCTGGGCCACCACCCCAATGCCGGCACAGCCCTGCAAGATCTCTGCTGGGCCACGCCCCCAAGGCCTGCACAGTCCTGCACAATATTCACTCTGCAAGCCTGTGCCCCTTAGGCCTGCCAAGCCAGGGACCCACACACGCATGATCTCCGTTCTGCTGGACCTGTCAAGCCAGGGATCCACAGACACGCAGGATCTCCACTCTGCTAGCCTGTGTCCTTCAGGCACACCAAGCCCATGCTCCAAAGGCCCGCTACTTCACCTCAGCTAAAGGCCTCCACCTGAAGGCCTGTGGGCCCCCCACCCATTGTCCACTTGCCACAGGAAGGCTCCAAACCTACCTAAGAGACACACAGAGAGGTCTGGATGCTAAAGAAGTAGCATCAGAACAACTAAGACTGAAATTCTACTGTTCCAGAACTGGTGATTTTTTTTTAATTTTAATTTTAATTTTTTTCCCTTCTTTAAGGGATTCGCTGCCTGGTTTACTGTTTGATCATCCACCATCTCTACCATTTTTTTCTCTTTTCCTCACTACTCTATTCCTTTTATCTTTCCATCTCTCTCTCTCTTTTTTTATCCTTCTTTCTTGGTTTTGTTAGTATCAATATTGTTACCCAGCCAATACTAAATTACACATAGTTCACGGGTAGAAACGTTACCTAGTGGAAATATGATAAGAATAAAAAGGGAAGGAAACCATTCCCCCCCTCCAAAAAATAAAGTACTATAGGATTTAGAGTGAAATGTAGAAAACGGATACCCAGACCTATACTCCAACAAAACAAAGATAAGCTACACCAAGGAACCCAAGAAAGCCCACAAGAACACCCTGAAAGAAGAAATCCTACAAGTAATTAATGAGAATTTCATAGAGATGTTACTAGACATGGTCAACCAAAACGTGCAGGAGGCACTCAAGAAATTCCAAGAGGACAAAAATAAAGAATATGAGAAAACACAAAAACCAATAAATGAAATCATAGAAGACCTAATAAACTCCAAACTGAAACTGAGACCACCATAAACAGAGAGATAAATGAATTAAGGTCAAAAATTGACAATATTAAAGAGGAAGTAACCCATGATATGGAAAACCTCAGAAAAAAGAATGAAACAGAAA